TTCTAATGACTAGATTCCTTTTTTTCTTTCACGATCGGGCTCACCTCTGTCACATTTATTTTTTGTCGATGACCTTTTTTTGTATGCCAAAGCCACGCAGCAGTAAGCCTCCCTCATGGCTCGCATTCTTGAAGTCTTTGGGTTCTTTTCTGGCCATTCCGTGAATAAAAGAAAGACAAATTTATTTTTCTCCGAACACGCCTGTTGCAAAACATGCTATTAGTGATCTTCTGGGTTTTAGCCTTGTCAATGAGATAGGTACATGCTTGGGAACACCTGTGCGGCACCGTGGAACTACTTATAAGCTCCACCCTGTCATCATGGATCAGTTGCGCAAGGAACTCTTTAATTAGTCCTCTTCTAATCTTTCACTTGCGGGTAGAATCACTCCGGCGAAGGCAGTTTTACCGGCCATTCCAACCTATTTCATGTAGACGAGCTTGATTCCGATCCATGTTTGTAACAACATTGAGCAACTCATCCGACAATTTATTTGGAAATCCAAAGGAAGCGATGAAGCTTTCTCCTTAGTTAATTGGCATACTTTATGTCAACTTTATAAGCATGTCGGTTTGGGTATCCGAAAGCAATTGTTCCATAACACAACTCTAATTTGGAAGATTTGCAATGCCTTGGTTAATGATCTGGAGGCGCTTTGGGTTAAGTTGCTGTGTAAGAAATATTCAGTCTCGGAATTGGCTCCGATTTTGATCCATAGATCCTCTTGTTCTCCTCTTTGGCGATCGCTCTCAAAGACTTGGCCTCTCTTTTATTCGAACCTTTTTTGGTTTATTGGGAATGGTGTGTCCACTCTTTTATGGTACGATACTTGGGTACTGGATCTTGCCTCTCCACCTTTGGAGGCTTTCGGAACAAATTGATATTGATGATGTTGTCGTTGCTGACTTCACCGATGGCAATGGAAAATGGAACTGACAGACTTTGGTTCCCCTCATAAATGATGTTGCCATTTAGCACATAATGGGTATCCCCGTGCCAAATCCAGCACTGGGTCACGATTGTTGTCTCTGGAAGCATAGCACCCAAGGTGTTTTCACTGTTAATAGTGCTTATAATATTCTGGCTGAAGATTCTCGGAATACTCCAAATCCCATCTGGCTCCGAATTTTTCTTTGGTTGATTGTTCATTACAAAATTCTTTCGAATGTAAAGAGGTGCAAAAGAGGCATTGCTCATGATCCTTTTTGCAGTTCATGCGGGGTTCCACGGCAGAAACCAACCATAACCATCCACATTCTCCATGACTGCTCTTCGATTAAGCCTTTATGGTCTGGCCATTGCTCACCAATCCTGGTGTTTCGGATTTTTTTTAACCTGCATCTTCATGAATGGATATTGGCAAATTTATCATCTTCTCTTGAGCACGACTCGTCCCAATGCCCGCACACCTAGGTTTCACATGATAACATGAACCTAGAAGAAGTTGTTGCCAGGGATTGAACCTAAGTCACCCGCGTGATAGGCAGAATGCTAACCACTATACTACAATCACTTTGTTAGTTTGGGGAAGATGTTTTCGTCATTTAATTCTTCAAATTGACAATTCTGATGCGTTTGAGATTATAACGGCTGCCTCTTCCAGTAGCTCGATCACTCTGGTTCGGGATATTTTTTATTTGGTTAACAGAGATTGGCAAGTGGATTTTAAACTTATCCACGGAAAAGCTAATATAGTTGTTGATTCCCTGGCAAAGATCGACGTTGGCTTCAATGTTGCTATTGGGTTTTTTGACGTTTGTCTCACGACTGTTCATAAGTTTCTAGTTTACGATATTGAGGGTCCTCCCTACATTCGCTATTGTAATTTTGCCTAAACTTATCTTTTAGGCTCATTTCTATTCGAAAAAATAATAATAAATATTAATTGTTATTCAGCTAATAATTTCTATTAAAAATAATCATTTTAGTCAAAAATAAAATATCAAAGGTTAAAGTATTTTAAAAAAACTAAAAATCAAGATTATTATTTTATAAAACTGTTAAAAAGGATATTTTATCATTATACCCAACTTAAGAATTCTACTTGAAAGTAACTATATTTATGCGTTGACCTCAAGAGCCTTACTAGGAACATTAAAACTTATATGTATATATCGTTAGATTAGGGATACATAATTAATGAAAAATATGGATCTTTACATTAGGGAAAGAATTTATAAAATTTTAGGGAAGATAAAAACATATTATCAATAAAAATACCTAAAATAATTTTAAAATATAAGATAACTTAAAAATTTTAGGAGGAACGATTGTTTTCTGCTTTCCTTAATTCATCCTGATGAAGAGTCTAATTGAAACTACCATGGGAACGACGCATAGAGCGGTCATCGAAAATAATTTTTAAAAACTAAAAGATCAAAATATTCTAATTTTCTTTTAAAAAGTAAAAAAGAAAACATTCTAAAAGATTAACGGATATTTAAACCAAATCAACCAACTAAAACTTGTCATGTAGAATATTGTTATGTGTTTCTCAATTAATCAACGTTGATTATTATTCACTAACGAAAGAAAATTAAAATTTAAAAATTACTAGTGACTAAAAATATCTAAATGTGAATATGGAAAAAAATAATTTAGAACGTGATAAAGACTTTTTAGCATTTTGTAGGAAGCTAAAGCATGTTTTCCACGCAAAATTGGGTGAGGAAAAGATGACGTGACTTGCTGAATTTCCTAGCATGGAAATGGATTTATTCCAACATGAATGTAGCGCATGACTGCCCTACTTTACACATAATGTTAAATCATCAACCGACTGTCTGAAGAGGTAACAATATTTTCTTAAGTGTTATTGTTTTTCTTGTTTTTTATATTATGATTAAATTAAATTTTAATGTATGATTAAATAATTATTTTAATTTTTTTTAGATATTTTGATATTTAATATCTTATTTTGCGATAAAACATATCATGATTTAATGAAAATCGTTAATTTTTAGTTTATTAACGATACTTATTGATAATGTGATATGTCAATGTGAATTGAAATACAGATATGACATGTCCATATATGATGTCACATTAAAAAAATAATTTTAAATTAATTACAAATAATTATTTTTATTAAATCAATAGCAACCATAAGGAAAAATTTGAGAACAAATTAAATAATGACTCCAATCTCAAGTCTAATGGGAGAAAAACAAATTAAATACATGACCGTGCCAGTTTATTTTTCTAGTTATATTTTTATCAACAAGAGAAAATAACTTCAGTGACCAAAAATACCTTATAATATACGATTTTAATCAATTTTTTTTGGATTAGCCAAAATGACCAACTAAATCGCAATGCGATCGATAATTCGCAACGCGATCTCCGGTATCGCAAATCAGTTTCCAGATTCGCAACGCGAACATCGACTCTCGCAACGCGAACGTCGACTATCGCAATGCGATTTTCTAAATTCGTTGCGATAGTCCAAGTTCGCGTTGTGATTTATTTGAAGTTCGTTGCGATAATCGAAGTTCGCGTTGCGATTTATTCCAAATTCGCAACGACTGGTAGTATTGCATTTGTTTCTTAAGGATTTTTTCTAAAAAGATAGTATTCGCGCGGACGTGTCGAATACACGTATTACCACGACCACGACCACGACGACGACGGCAGCGGCGCGCGAGAGTCCCCCTTGTTCTCTATCACTCAACAAGGAAGTGAGAAAGTCAAGCCTTAAATACCATTCCCAATAGTGTTTCCAATACTATGTGGGATTGAGCATTACCAACACTTGTTCCCAATACTATGTGGGATTGAGCCTTAAATAGTGATATTATTTGTGAATTATAGTTAATGACTTTAGTATTTGTATGAAAAGTATTTGTGGTTCGTTTAGTTTTCATGCAATTCTAATTTGTTTTCAATTGATTATAATTGCACGATAACAATTTTTTTTATTCTCGCGAGTGATGCAATTTTTTTTTAATGTTTTGCTTAAAATTACAATAATCGCGATTGATTGTAGATTGACTTTTAATTATAACATATTTAATCGTATAATACTAATGTAATCGGTTGCTGATTCAATTGTTTTAAGGTGCATGATTGTTAATTGTTTCCTGAATAATCACATAGTATTGAAAACAAGTGTTGGTAATGCTCAATCCCACATTGTATTGGAAATACTATTGGGAATGGTATTTAAGGCTTGGCTTTCCGACTTCCTTGTTGAGTGATAGAAAACAAGGGGGACTCTCGCGCGCCGCCGCCGCCGCCGTCCGTCTCGTGGTCGTACATGTATTCGACACGTCCGCGCGAATACTATCTTTTTAGAGAAAATTCTTAAGAAACAAATGCAATACCACCAGTCGTTGCAATTTTAGACATCGCAACGAATTTGGAAAATCGCAACGCGAACTTGGACTATCGCAATGCGAATATGTAAATCGCAATGCGATAGTCGAAGTTCGCGTTGCGAATCTGGAAACTGATTTGCGATACCGGAGATCGCGTTGCGAATTATCGATCGCATTGTGATTTAGTTGGTCATTTTGGCAAATCCAAAAAAAATTGATTAAAATCGTATATTATAAGGCATTTTTTGTCACTGAGATTATTTTCTCCATCAACAAAACTATTTAGTTTAAACTATTTCCTCATTTTGTTTAAAAAATTATATCCTTATTCTCAATTACAAAAATAATGATGTAATAATATTTTATTTTTTAATAATTATGTGATATTATTTTGTAATAATACGTTAATACTATTATTAATTTTATAACGATTACCGATTAAAATAAATCAAAATAAAATATTAAATATGATTTATAAAATATAATTAAATTACAAAAATAAAATTATTAGAATAAATAAATGACTAAATGCAGAATATACTGACCCCGATAGAGAACCCAAAGCTAAAGATCCTTTCAAAATAAACGGCACAAATAAATCGAGAAAAATTGGGTACAAACCAGTAGACCACGAAATCCACGTGGTGCTTATGCCAAACCTTGTCCCAAAAACTAATAAAATGCGCATTGCGCACTTCGCCAAACATAACTTTTTCACTCTCTTTGCTGACCTGCGCCGGTTTCCCTCTATATTCTCTCCTTATCTATCTCTATCTCTATCTCTATCTCTAATGACGACTTCTCTGCAACTATCTCGTTTCTCCATCCGCATCGGTCCCGATCGTTTTGGCGGGATTTCCGGAGCTCTCCCTTCACGGAAACCTTTCTCGGTCAGATGTTCCGCCGATTCCGACGCTTCTTTCTCTTCCGTTGCGGTGGATACCGATAACTTCGATGCCAAGTCCTTTCGGCATAACTTGACGAGGAGCAAGAATTACAATCGGAAAGGATTCGGACACAAAGAGGAAACTCTCGAGCTCATGAATCGAGAGTATAATACTAGTAAGATTTTGTTCTTAACAACCAAATTCCGGTGGGGTTTTGCCTTTTTGGTCCTTTGTTGCGCTGAAGTTTAGATTTAGTTCTATATTTTAATTGGACATGATTTGATTCTGTACTACTAGATTCAAATTGATAATCCAGACAACCATGTATAATTAATGAACATGCTTAAAGTTGTTTTAAACAACGTTTCTGAGACTGTTATTAATAGATCAAAGTATGTAAAATTACAGTAGACGGATTAAATTCTAAATTTTAGGCAGTGGAGGGATTAAAACACAACTAGAATTAGATTTTAATTTGGATTTTGGCAAAATAATTTTATCATTTTGTTTTGGAAATTATGTTCAGGTGATATCATAAAGAAATTGAAGGAAAACGGAAACGAGTATACATGGGGAAATGTTACGGTAAAATTGGCAGAAGCATACGGTTTTTGCTGGGGTGTTGAGAGAGCTGTTCAAATTGCTTATGAAGCGAGAAAACAGTTTCCTAATGAGAAAATTTGGATTACCAATGAAATTATCCACAATCCAACTGTTAATAAGGTACTCTATAGATTTACTCTTCTCTTCCAGTGTTCTCTTTTAATAGCTTATACTTTCTAAAGTTTTAATAATAAACTCATGGACCGAACAACGGCGGCGGCGCAAGGTGTCTCGGTTCCTATTTAGTTTCTTTGCATAAATATAGTATTTTTTTTCTAATGCAGCGGTTAGAGGAGATGGAAGTTAAAAATATTCCTATCGAGGAAGGGATGAAACAATTTGATGTAGTGGATAAGGGTGATGTTGTGGTTTTACCTGCTTTTGGAGCTGCAGTTGATGAGATGTTGGTTTTGAATGACAAAAATGTGCAAATTGTTGATACCACTTGTCCTTGGGTGTCTAAGGTATCATCTTCCAGTTGATTGGTGTAGCTAATGATTGCTTCCAATTCTTTTGATTTTTGCAGCTTTTCAATGTTTGGAAACAACTGGTTTTTATTCATTTGACATATAAATGTTCTTTTCTATGTAGGTATGGAACACTGTAGAGAAGCATAAGAAAGGAGACTACACTTCGATCATTCATGGTAAATATGCTCACGAGGAGACAATCGCGACTGCATCTTTTGCTGGAACATATATTATTGTGAAGGATATGACTGAGGTATGTCCTAAAGTGACTGGCTGGTATTCTATCTTTTTGGTGATATCTTGTGATTTTTACTAAATGAAAACTGTTTGTTTCCATGATGTTTGATCAATGAAAGGCAATGTATGTTTGTGATTACATTCTTGGAGGTAAACTTTATGGATCTAGCTCCACCAAAGAAGCGTTTATGGAGGTATAGCCTTCATTTCTTATTTTCATCATATGTCAAAAATATATGTAGCATTGTGAAAAATGTTTAGATGATTATTGGCTCTTCCACAGAAATTCAAACATGCTACTTCAGAGGGGTTCGATCCTGATCGTGACCTAGTAAAACTTGGCATTGCAAACCAAACTACAATGCTTAAGGGAGAGACGGAGGAAATCGGTGAGTTGCACTTATGCACTTGCTATATGTCACCCTTTCTTTTCGCAAGGAATTACTGCTCATGACACGCATTACATTTTGGTTTAACAGGGAAGTTAGTTGAGAGGACAATGATGCAAAAATATGGAGTCGGAAATATCAATGATCACTTCATAAGCTTTAACACAATTTGTGATGCAACACAAGTAAGTCTAATGTTTGCGACAAAAGGTTTTCATTGTTATTATTATTATTTTGTGAATATATTTTTTTATTGAAAACTTCATGGTTTCTTGTATTCTTCCCCTTCACCGATTGCATACCCTTTGTTATATTGGTCACTGAATTAAAGCTGCTGATTTATCATCATTTTTGCAGGATCGACAAGATGCTATGTATAAGTTAGTGGAGGAAGATTTGGATCTTATGTTGGTGGTTGGTGGATGGAACTCAAGCAACACTTCACACCTTCAAGAAATTTCTGAGGATCGTGGGATTCCCTCATATTGGATCGACAGTGAACAGAGAATTGGTCCAGGAAACAGAATAGCTCACAAATTGAAAGTAAGTACGAACTTGTAATCTTGCGAGCCTAGAGAAAAGGGTTTTGTAATGGCGATTTTCATATTCTAATCATGCAAATGCTGTATTGTACCAGCATGGGGAGCTTGTTGAGACAGAAAACTGGTTACCAGAGGGTCATATCACTATCGGTGTTACATCTGGTGCCTCCACGCCAGATAAGGTAATTCTTTTATATTACAACTCCCCCCCCCCCCAAAAACAACACACACACACATAAATATGTGTATGTATAGATGTGTGTATATGCACATACAAGCACGCTTGTGCATACGTTTTCCATCTTTTCATCATTTGCAGTAATGGCTTCACAGCCTGCAACCGCTAATGCCGGCTTTATCGTACAATATTTGATATATGAACTGATATAAGCAGGTTGTTGAAGATGCACTCATTAAGGTGTTTGACATAAAAACGGGAGGAAGCCTTGCAAGCAGTAGCATAAATATTTAGGTTCACAGAGGTTTTGGTATTGATGGTGAATGCATAGTTAAAATGGAGGACTCTTTAGTCTTTAAGATCCGACTGTAATTTGCGTCTGCCTTCAAATCAAATGGTTAAATATTCGTAAGATATTTGAACATCTTATTTGATAAATTTATTATCAGATCTCGGGTTCGAATACCGCGTATATAGGAAAATGAGTGTTTATTAACAAATGATTAAGAGTTTTTGAACATATACTATTTGTATTCACCATATAATTATAATATATATATATATATGCGTAAAAATAAGTGTTCAAATTATATACCTAAAGTTAACTTTAAGTGCTTGTATTTTCGATATTACATTTTAGGTGTTTGTCGTTAAATTTAACCGTTAAGTTACATTTCGGATTCAAACCATCCGCTCTGGCGATCGAAGATGGTTCAGTTTTTAAATTTAATTTTGTTAAAGCCATGTTTAACTGTTTTCAATTCATAACGGGAAAAGATTCTCGTGAAATGTTGAAAAATCTTTTTGTCATGTCGATTGTTTTGCCATCATTCAATAGATGGTTGGTTGAATTTAAAAGGTTTTGATGCAAAAGAATTTAATTGATGATTTTATGTAATTTAAATGATTTGATTGGATATTGTTTTTATTAAAGGTTTAATTTTTTTTTGAAGGTTTTTACATTTTAGTTGTATTTATTTTTAAAAGAATATTAATTATATATTTATTATTATGGTTTAATTTTAAATGAAATTGAAAGACTAAAGAATGAAGTAATGATTTTAAGATCTAATGGTCGTCAACAACCATGATCAATAACGATGATAGTGAGTGATGGCTGATGGTATGAGATTTTGATTGAATTAAAAGTTAAATTAATATTTTATTTAAAATTTAAGATCAAAAATAATATTTTATTTAAAATTTAGAGATCAAATTAGTATTTTATTTAAAATTCAATGGTAAAACTAAAAATTAGATTCAGGAACTAATGATTTAGTAATTTGAAATATAATAATTGATAATGTAAGTGATAGAAAAATTCCCCCAAAATCGATGATTAAATATAAAGAAAATTGAAATGATAACTCCGATAGTTGACCCAAGTTTTAATTAAATGTTGGTTATGTTTTTAACTTAGCTTTCAATCTTTCTAGCATTCGATCAAGTCGAGTAAAAAAAGATGAGTTAAGTCTTATTTTATATTTTGAAGTTGACTTGAAATTTTTTTGAGTCAAGTAGAGTCGATTTTTTTAGTTTTTGTTTAAATTTAATTGTAAATATTTATAATATTATGAATTACTTGATTCCAATTTAAATCTTTTTTAACAAATCATATGCAATATATATATATACATATACATATTTTTTTCTTACGTGACAAAAATATATTATATAGAGTCGAGAGACTCAATTTAAATTTAAAAATTAATCTATTAATTACTAAAACTTTCAAGTTATTTGAGTTATTCTAGTTGTATTTCACAACTCGATTTGAATTTGAAATTTTTTTGAGTCGAGTCGAGTTTTTTCAAGTCGAATAAGTCGAAAAAATCGATTTTTCTAGTCTAGTCAGGTTTTGCTCACCCCTAATACAATTAAGCATTTGATCGAGTCAATAAATTTTGAGATATTCCAGTTGAATCGTATTTTATAACTCGAAGTTGATTTGAAATATTTATTATTTGAGTCGAGTTTAAGAAATTCTAGTTGAGTCGAATATGTTCGAATTTCTATACAAATTTAATTTAATTATTTATATTATTATGGTACAAATTGATTCCATTTTTTTGACTTTCTATATATATATATTTTCATATATTTTTTTTCATATTATGATGTTATTTAATATATTAAATGCAATCTAAAATTATAAAATATATTTATAATATTATATTTTGAAGAAGGTATTTGGAGGGTAAAGTATTAACCAAAATATAAAGAAGTCAATAAATTGATGAGAACATAGAATTTGCAAACAATTGTAGTAAAAAAATTAAATTGAGTAAAATGTAAAGTTAAAACACTAAATTAAATAAGATAGTATATTTTTAGTAAAAAAAATTAAAAAATTAAAGTTATATAGGTATTCTATAGTGATATATGAGCATTTGATTCAAATTTGATAAAAAACAAACTTAAAATGAAGGATTAATTAAAGAAATAAGGGAATTGTAAAAAGTTGAGGGACTAAATTAAAAAATAAAAATTTATTATCAAAATGAGAAATTTAAAATACATAGGTATTCTACTATAGTTTAGGAACATGTGGTTTAAATTTGATAAAAATAGATTTAAAATAAATGAAGAATTGAAAGAATAAGTAAATTAGTGACTAAATTATAAAATTATTAAACTATTCAGCTAAATTTGTGATTTTTCGAGTGACTCGAAATTTTAAAATTTTAATGCAATTCAAATTCAAAATTGACTCGATAATTCAATTCGACTCGAATAACTTAAATAATTCAATTCGAATAATTCAAAATTAAAGAAAAAATAATTTTTAAAGTAAAATCGAATTTTGTTCACTCGTGCTCTTTCACTGTTGAAATAGAAAGCAATAAATAGCTATAGATGGTGGCAGGACTGGTAATTTGGACTGAATTCATTGCCCATTTTGTAAACCCTTCGGCCTCTTAAGCTCCTTCTCAAATGGAGCAAAATCCTAAATTCTCCGATTTTTCCGGCAGATTCTTTTTCATTACCGTTACACTTGAACCCTAACTATATAAAGGTAACTCACTTTCCCCAATTTTTTTTCCAGATAGTTTTAATCTTTTTGTGAACTTTTAAGTAGCATTCTTTGTATGCCGATTAAATACCTCCAGATAATTTGCTGCATTTTCCTCTAAGATTTGAGTTCTTTAATTTTCCGAGCAACCAAACAGGATCCTTCAATATATTTTGCTTTATTCACTTAGATTTTAAGCAACATCTTATCCAGGCATTCAGATCCGTTCCTTTCTTAGCAAGATTAGTAACTGTTGTTCTCTCCACTTATTATTTGTTCTACGGTTAGGTAGATGATGACCTTTTGTCTTTTTGTATCTGTGTTTATTTACTCGAACATGATTTGGAGTTTTTTTAAACTAAGCTTATTCAGCTTTTTATGAGTGTAGAATCTAACGAGCTTGTATTATTTATTTATGTGGCATCGTGTAATAGAAGCCCCGTGTATGGTGAAGGATGCGATTCGAAACTAATTTGGAAAACATTATTAAATGCTTTGATAAATGTTCCTGTTTGTTTGCACTGCCTTTTGAAGTGAAGTAATAATGGCTTACTATTTTGGTTCTGAAATTAGACGTTGTATGCTAGTAGTAAGTAATCATGCTTTTCAAGGAAGAGCATGGATGTTATGTTGTGTTTTCGTCTTCATCCTTTAAATGCTGGTTGAACTTTTAATATTTTTAACTCTACTTTCGTTTTGTTTAACTTCATTATGCTTGCTTCTTGTTTTCTGCAGGGTAGATGGTGTTTTGTTTTTCGCTGTTTCTTTGAGTAATTTTTTGCATGCATTGCCTGGGGCAAGGCGTCCTGTTGATTAGTTTTTGAGTAGATGATTTCATCATAGAGAGTTTGTGCAGTTTATTTTGTTTGAAAAGGTACTAATTAGGGGTTGTAACAAATGGAAGTTTCTAGTGTAAATCATGAACTGAGGCATCGTAAATTGACCCCGCTTAGGGTGATTAGGGGTCTGATATGCTTGCTAGTGTTACTTTCAACAGCTTTTATGATGATATTGTATTGTGGCTTTTTTAGTACTGTTGTATTGAGGCTTTTCAGCGTACATTACAGTCGAAAAGTAACAGCTTTCTTCTTTAGTTCTTGGCTAGCTTTATGGCCTTTTCTATTTGAGAAAATAAACAAAACCAAAGTCATTTTTTCTGGAGATGATGTTCCTGCAAGGGAACGTGTTTTGCTTATTTGCAACCACAGAACCGAGGTTGACTGGATGTATCTGTGGGACCTTGCATTGAGGAAAGATTGCCTGGGATACATAAAGTACATACTCAAGAGCAGCTTGATGAAATTACCTGTATTTGGTTGGGCATTCCATATTTTGGAGTTCATCCCTGTGGAAAGGAAGTGGGAGGTTGATGAGGCAAACATGCGCCAGATGCTTTCAACATTCAAAGATCCTCGGGATCCTCTTTGGCTTGTAATCTTTCCTGAAGGAACAGATTTCACGTATTTTCCTTTTCTTTTAGGCTTTATGTGTCATATCCCCTTTATTGTCTCTTTTATTTTGATAACGTCCTGTTTTATTTGAACAGGACAGTGCATGGAGAAGTTTTATCACTGGTTTCCTGCTTGCAGGATTCTCCATGATTTTTATTACTAGTTTTCCTTGAGCTCTTTGTTGATGCAATTGCATTGCACTAATCCTTTAATTATGCTTTTTCTTGCAGTGATCAGAAGTGCTTAAGAAGTCAAAAATATGCATTTGAAAATGGCTTGCCCATCCTAAAGAATTTGCTGCTTCCAAAATCAAAGGGTTTTAATGCCTGCTTGGAAGATTTGAGGAGCACTTTGGATGCAGGTTGTTTTTCTTCTTTATGCCCATCTATCGGTTGCCTGTGGATTTGTCTTTTAACCTTTTACACATTGATATATCCTTGACAGAAGATTATTTATTATAAGACCCTTTTAGCCCATATTGTGGTAGGTTGTTGTAGATCAAGCTTTGACACTGGTAACAAACATGTTACTTCATCTATTTTTTCCCTGGAGTAACCAATAAGCTTTCACAATGTGGAAAGTGTTGAGCTTTTCCTATTTACGACAACACTTGCTTTCTTGTCTGGTCTAGAGCTGATCAAGATTTTTAGTTCAGACCTATCCTTTTTCTTTTTCAGATTCAAGAAATAGCAGGCTAGGTAGAGAGTTCCAAACTTTGCATGACAAAAATAAAAATTGAATTTCCAGTCTGTAATAGTGTACTTAAAAGAACACCTCTACTAGTTCTGCTTCTGTACTCAATTTCACATTTGACGTGTAAGAAACCTGGAGGATGCGTGACTTGTAGATCTATGAAACCATTAAAACTTGTTTTTGGTTTCGAAGAGGCTCCAGTAAGACTGAAACCTGAGCTTAGGATAAACTCAATTATTCTATTTTGTAATCTCTAGTATTGTTAGGAGAACACTTGCTATGAAATTTCATCTGAATAAACCCAGTTTAGTCACTTCGACAGATTTTCATGACTTATTTGTTTGCAGTTTACGATGTGACCATTGGATATAAGCATCACTGTCCATCCTTCTTGGATAATGCCTTTGGGGTTGACCCTTCCGAAGTTCATATTCACATCAGACGCATCACCCTGGATGATGTCCCGATGTCTGAAAGGGAAGTAACTGCTTGGTTAATGGATACATTCCAACTTAAGGATCAATTGCTTTCAAATTTCAAGTCCGAAGGTTATTTCCCTCCACATGGAACAGAAGCGAACCTCTCTACATTCAAGTGCCTCGTAAACGTTATGCTGGTGCTCATCTTGACTGGTGGATGCACATTTTTAACTATTTTCTCGTCCATTTGGTTTAAGATTTTCGTATCCTTATCTTCGTCCTATATGGTTTCTGCCACTTATTTCAACATCCGTCCGGAACCAATCTTCAACTTTGTCAAAACTAGTGTTTAAACCAAGTTTTTCTTCCAATTCCTTTTATCATGCAAACTTGATAGCTATTCATTCATAAGCAGCATCGAGAAGTGCTTGCCGGAAAACTTCATTCAATATGGCTTCCAGCATCACCTGAATGTGGAGGTTCATGTTGGGAGCTTAAATATCCCGTGCCACGTGGTTATACTACATGAGAAAAGAGTCACGACGGAGAATCCATCCCGTTAAAATCTCGAGTATGTTCTATTCAGATATCAATGTTGTTGTAGGGCGTTATGTACTGAAAGTATAATTTTAGGCTCGAACTTCCAATAACTGTACGGAATCTCTTGATAAAATGCTGCAAAGTTGTGCAAATGGTAAGGTCCTGCCCTTTCTTTGTTCGGAAATTTGGTATGGTAAAACTTCAATCAATAATTCACATACAGTCGATGAAACATTTTCCAAATGGGAAATAACAATATCTTACCTAAAACATACGTAGAAAAAGGAATGAAATAATACTATAGTCTTCAAATATCGAACATCATTATGTTCACTTATTGTCAAGATTGTCAGAATTAACTTGAAGCAGGTCAAATTCCCAGAAATCAAATGATTTCAGTGATTGGGATGTTTTATGATCCTTTGAAGAAGAACAGTCCTTGCTCTCCTAATATCCCGGCTACAAATATCAGCTTGTTGCCCCAAATCATCTACATTCTTCATAAACACCCCAAGCTTCTTTATGATCTCATCTATCCCAATCTTCCCTGCTTCTTGCTCTATTGTGAAATCCGTGTTCTGCAACAGGACTTCGATCTCGATTTCCAATTGATCGACGAGAACCCGGATGTTATCCAAGTCTTTAATAGCCACATATGTGCCTGCTTGCATTGAGGTAATCACTTCCTTTTGTCCCTTCAATGCATTTTCATATTACTCCACAGAGAATCAATCCATTTTCCCATCGAACCCAACGGGATCGATGTTGCAGCGGCAAGTGCGGCAGCAATCGGAGGTGCCACCACTGCAGCTGCTCCGACTGAACAAATCAACATGGCAGCAAATGTAGCAACGAATATCATACTCGATACCTTACGCCATGAATGAATGTACTTAAACTTCTTGTCGAGCTTGTTTTTCCTCAGCATCAATTTCTCCAGCATAGCTATTTGCTGCCTGTAAACAGATTGGAAGATCTGAAAGAACTCGTCAGTGAAAGGGTCGCCGGCCGCCTTGAAATTCCTCAGTTCTTCCAATGTCCTTGCGAATTTGCTCCCTCCAACCTCGCTTTCTTCCTCGAACTGTTGCAGAGCCATTAATATCAGCAATTGGCTGTCTAGGGCACGCTTCAGGCATTTCTCTAAGGCAGAGCAAAAATCAAGTGTTTGCAAGCTGTTCACGAAGTACTCCTCGACGAGCTCGAACAATTCTTGGTTCTTCCATATATCTTTCTTGCATTCCAAGATAACTTTAACAACCTCTTGGTTCATCTCTAAAAGACAACCGGTTACCTCTTTGAGTGAATCGAATGAAAGGGCTCGGACCTCGACACCTATTGCTAGTGTGTTGATGACATGATTGATTCGAGCTTGGACATTGGTGTCGAATGTATGCAACTCCTTGTCTAGCTTGCAAGCTGCTTCATAGGAACTCAATTCAGTTGTGTACTGTAAATTGCTGCTAAGATTTACAGAAGATGTCGATAACTTTTCTGTTGTTCTCTTGCTCCCATGATTTCCCGTCAGATCAGATTTAAGCAAAGAACAAAAGATTATCGAAACCCAGAGCTTGAAATCCGGTTTTCAGAAAGTTGCAATCTTTTTTTTTTCTCCTTATATCAAACAGATTATGAACAGATGAGGTGAAGAGCAGAACAAATGGATTACTTTCTCCAAATCAACACTACCAATTTAGAAGAAAAAATGCCCAGAAAAGAGAAAATCTTGAAAACCCAGATGGAAAAAGGGTATTGAAATTTTGAATGTTTATCAGAAGACAAACATTTGGAATTAAGAAGAAATAAAATGAGGGAGAAAAGTTTGGATGGGTTATCTTGGAAACAAAGGAAGCAAACAACAAAAAGCAATTAGGAAGGTGAATTGAAGATGAATACGCTTAAAAACAAGCTTAGAACCGTTAAAAGAACCAAGAGAACAAAATTAAAAGAGATTTGAGAACGGCTCGCACGCATGAGAAGTGGGGATTGAGGAGCATGGGAAACGCGGGAAGAAATGTATGTTCATTTTCTCTTTCTATCTCTAGAAAGGCCTCATCTTTTTTTTTACAGCTCTGTAAAGCCTACCATATAAAGCAAGAGAAGCTACCATGTAAAACAACAGGAGAGAATGTTGGGCCTAGGCTCCAAGATGGCAAGATTGACATGTTGAGGGTGTGCTCGGGAAGAAAGAAAGTTGAAGTCTTTTTTCTTCGGATAAAGAAAACACAAACTTTTGGTTATAAAGTCCGCCCGCCCATTATTTTCTCAAGTTACCATTCTCTAATAATAATAAATTGGTAATTTGGAGATTTTATTTCTCACTTGAACTTTTAAGTATTGTTTGGGAATCTCAATCATAAAATTTAAATTTATAATATTTTAAAGATAATGTAAATAAATAATAATATATTTAAAATATAACGCTTATGATTTCTCAATTTTTTATATAAAAAAATTCGTCATATGTATTTTTTCTTATCATTTACATAATAATTTAATTTTAAATTTTCAAATATATTTGCAAACGGAACATTGATGATTTATTTACCATGCAAAAGAGTTCATATATTATAAGTCTTCAATTGACTTAATGAAGATTTAACTTTTTTTTTCTATGTACATATTTGGTTTTTTTGGTGAAGCTGTATCCTACACGATTACTCAAAATAGTTGGAAAATTTTGAAGTAAGCTTAAAACTTCACTTGAACCGTTAGGCTTAATGTAAAATTAAGTATCCAAATTATACCTAAAGTTAACTTTAGGTGTCTAAAAAATTTTCATTAAAAATAGGTGTCTAACGTTTTTAATTGTCTGTCATTAAATTCGCCCGTTAATTGAAATGTTAGACACATATTTTTAATAAAAGATATTTTAAACTCTTAAAATTAAATTTAAATATAATTTAAACATTTATTTTTATATTAAGCGAAACTTTAACGAAGAAAGGAGAGAGAAATATTTACCCTTTTGGTTGCTTTGCCTAGTTGATACCTCCAAAAGAGCGACATTTGTCAATCAAAGCAACTTTGGAATTTGCTTTGTAAGACTCAAAACTTGCATTTTGTAACTATCCCAATCTCTCGAGCTTGCGATTAAAACTTGCTTTCCAAGAAACAAAAACTCAATCCTCTCTCTTTTTGATTAAAAAATGTTATATATGCAATATTTTACATAGCTTAATATATATATATCTGATAGATTTAGACCTGATTCAATTTGATAAAATTAAATCTTTTATAAAACTTAAATTTTCAGAGTTTCGCCAGTTAAATTGACAGTAAAGTTTTACCAGTAAAATTAACATCAACAACGAAAAACTTAGAAAATTAAGATTTATTGAGAGGAGCTTAAAATCTTTATTTTTTTTTAAATTTAATATTTTTATTTTTATCACGTCATCTTTCTATTGATTGAAAACACCCCATATAAATTTTAAAATTTAGACATTTAAGGTTGAAATTGAAAATTTGATACATTTTTAAGGGCTATCCTTGTTATTATACTTAAAGTAAATTAATAGTTTTTAAAATAATATGTCGCATGTAAATTTATGATTGGTTCATATACACTGGCAAATCTGTGCACGCATGATGGTGACCATGTGTCCATTATGAAATTCGAATTTTTTCGATAATTACATATTTTATTAATTGTGCTCATCCTAAAAAAACTTTTGTGTATTTAAAAATTTCCAGAAGACCACTCCCTCGATCCATCCATATATGCTAATAAAAAATGATTAATAAAATTTCCCACTCCATACCGACATTTTGCACCTCCAATGTTTGCCCGTGATCCATATAATGCCATTTAGTAACGCCAATTTACCAACTCTTAAAATGTAACGACAGCCTTATACCATGTTCTCCACTTCCCCTAAATAATCAATCCCACTTATATATATACATTATTATTTTATACAGTTAAAAACAATTTATTTCACAAATAAATTTTAAGAAAACTATAATTGTTGATTGTAATAATATGTGATGTGTCGGCCGTAAACGGTTCATTTGTTTTGATTTAAATGGAGTATCATAATTGGTAGTGTTTTTGGTAATGGGAGTCAAAAGGATCGGTTGGAACTTGAAAAGAAATGTAATGAAGAATATGAATGTTCAGAAGATTTGACCACCCTTTTCGATTTTGCACGAAGATTTATATATTGACTTTTATTATGTGCATGTGTCTGACAATATCATAATTGTTATTCGTAGATATACAAAGCAAGCAAATAAATACAATCAATTGAAAATAGATTTGACCTACAAGAGCTACAATAGTTTAGTAAAAAAAATGCGATCGATTGGAAAAAATGGATCTCATAAGACCCTAATTAATAAAATGATTCCTTCAAAGGCTTTGATAGGAAAATTTGTATTTTTTAAAGGAATATCTTCGGAAATATAACAATGGTACGCATAGAAGTATCTTCGAAGATATAATAATAATGTATCTCTTTCATGTATTTTTCAAATAGCAATTAAAGAAACGGTGTGGTAATGTTTAATTTGCAGAGTTTGATTCCGTAAGGCAACTCTCCTAAGTCATAGTTTCCTATATAAGGGGCTCAACCTTGTGTTTCTCTCACAAGAGTCATTTCAAGCAATTAGAAGTGTATTTGTTTGAGATCAAAAGATATGGAGGGACATGCTAAGCTTATGGTTGTGACAATGGTGATAGTAGCATTAGCCTTTGGGTCCGGTCCCATAGTCACTAATGGTCAGAAAGTTTGAGCAAAGGGGATTTCGAGGCATGCCAGACGAGTGTGAACGCTGCAGATCCCAATCCTCTGCCGCCTTCGGCTGTGTGTTGCAAGGCTTTAGACAATGCCGACTTCAAATGCCTTTGTTTCTTCAAGAACTCCAAGTGGATGACGGAGTATAAAGTCGATTTCAATCGAGCTAAGGAGCTTCCCGGGAAGTGCAACTTGGGGAAATCTTTCCCTTGCTAGATGTGTGAAATAGAAGAAAATCTTGTGTTGAACGCTGATTTGATTATTTCTTTTGTTTTTGGTTTAGTTGTCATTTGTGTTTGTGTTTAAGTTTGAGATGTTTTAATAAGAAATATGTTATGAAAATTGATTGAGGTTAGAAAACAAGTAAGTATGATCTTATATTAGAGATGTGAAATTTAGAATTCATATTAGATATTTAGGAGTACGAAATTAGAGTATCATTTAAAAAAATAAAAAAAAAACCTAAATTGTATGAAAAATTAAAATGTTTAAAAAATATGATCGCATTCCAACACCCATCAATCCATACATGGATGGGTGTATGTCTTTGCATAATGGAAATTTGCGAATGTTGTAAATAAGAGGAAGGCGTTATCCAAGCCTCTCTCCATTCACTCTGAAAATAGTAAGTTATGTTTAATTTTGACTTTACACATTATTAATGTAATGAGAAAGAATATTGGATCTCAACTCACCATTAATAAATTTAATGTGACTTTGAATTAACTCACGGGTTGACATGCTTGTTAACCTTTTTTTTTGTTGAATAAAACATGTAGAATTAATGCATTAACCATTAATAGCATCAGACATGATACAGTGGGGACATTCATAATAAAAGAACAAAGGGTTGCGGGATGAGGAAAAAGGCCAACTTCCAGTAGGCACAGCCGTGCAGAAACCTTTAAATATAAAAGCAAAATAATTAAATTCAGATTTACAAAACTAAAAATAATCAGTGAACAAAATTTTCAATTAATTTCATGATTGAGTTATGATGTTAACAAACTCTTTAATATATCATTTGAAAATTAATCATTAAAAGTAATTTTCAAAACTTTTTTTTCCTGAATTAACCTTAAGTTTACGATTCTTACATTTCAAAGAATTGTATTTACTAAAATCATGTTAACCCCATGATGTGCTCCTAAAGAAATTTGTTCTGATCAATAGCAAAGTGAGTTATGTTGAGGATTAACTTGTAAAATTTATTGAAGGATGGTAAGCTGATGGGCTGTGGACAGGTTCAGAGTTAAATATTAAAGAAGAAAGTTCGATTATGGAAGAAAAAGAAAAAAAGTGGAGATGAAGAAGATAACATATTAATATGTCATCAACTTTTTTAACCGCAATGAATATATTGAAAGCAAATTAAAAGTTCAATTTATCTTAAATCATATTAATTTTGTTAATGTTAGTGAAATAAAATATGTATGTAAAAATTATAAATATTATTCCACAATGAATGTGAGTGAAATGGTAAAAAAATATTGTATATATAAAAAAATTTAACCGACAGTTCGATTTGTGGACAAGTTTTAATTTTTTTTTTTATTTAGAGATTATATAAAAATATGAAAATAAAAATAAAAATATCATTATAATAATAATTTAATAATTAACCGAACACTAAACTCAATTAAGAGTTTAATTATTAATATAAATATTAATATTTCATTTCCTTTATTTATAAATATCACTGGTGAGCTGATAAGCAAATTTTATATGAACTTATAAGTTCTATATTCAATTCTCAAATGTTTTATTTAAAATTTATATTAAAAAAGAATATTTCAATAATCTATCAAATGAACTGACATCCAGTCATACAAACTCAGTCAGCCATTTCTATATTGCCTGTATATATATATATATATATGTATACACACACACACATTATGTGCGGAAATTTTGTTACGTTTTCATTATGATAAGCGTGTGAAAAAGAAAGTAGGGGAAACAGGTAGCAATCTGCAAAGCCAATTAATCTAAAGACCACTCAACATCATAATGCATCAAGAGATTGTCGGGATCTGATTTTAATCATTGAAACTAAAGCTGAAAGTCGGTCATTATCATTCTACCAAAACATTTATGGCAACCCGTGTTGGCTGCAAAATTGTAATTCAACAGTACCAGGTAGCATGGTGGGGGATGCTTATAATCTACTTGTTGTACAGATGGACAAATGAGAAGATGAAGAATCCTGCCATCTGCATCACAAACCCCATATCAAAAGTTAATACATCACACTAGGGAATCACATTATGGTAGTGTTTGGGTAATGATGACGGCGTTATCTTGTTTAAACAACTCGGACGAGACACTTTGCCAATTCTTTCAAAGGATTACTTCTGTAGAACCTCTAGTCTAAACCATTCGTTCTTAACTAGATGAATGACGCAGCTTATAACTCTTAAAAGTCATATAATTCATACTCATGTTTGACACTTAAATTCAACACATTTTCAGATAGGATATAGAAGTATTATCCTCCAAATTTATGTAAGAAAGTCAAAAAAATTGACCATATACAAGCAAACAAATATCCATATTCTATACTCATCTTTGAGTCTGGCTAACATAGAAGATAGAAAGGAGAGCATGAGAGTCATACCGTAGAAAATGCAGCACCATAGTAGGGATTAGCAGTTGGTATGAATCTTTCATATTCATTGTGTCTATATGGCCTGACTGGAATCTGCAATGTAATTCAGTGTTTTAGTAATTTCAACATGAAAATCCAAAACAGCGTTCGCAAACAAAAAACTCCATGAGATGTAATAAACCCCAAAAGCAATTACAAAAACAGTACAAGTTAGATAAAAACAACTACGCATAAATCAATATCAGTCACTGTCCTATACAGATCTTTTGTGAACTTCAACTTCTATTACAGGTTGCTTCCAAAAAATAAACTAAAAAAATTCAGATAAACTAGTAAGAGAATTAGGTGTCAAGAGGGAAAGTGTATTCAGAATCATAAGAAACAAAATACCTGCTTTGCAAGGGATAAGCTTGTATATCCAAGCTTTTGGTACTCAACCTTAAACTGGAAAACACCATAAACATCCGGGACCTTAAATGATGCGGAATAGAGACCCTGCAGTACAATAATGGACCAGTGGTTTTATTGGATGACTTCATATTAAAAGCAAGCTGATATCACAAACATTATAAGATCAAGAGACATATAACAAACCTTTTTATCATTTGATAAAGTTTTCAAAACATAGGGGCTCATCATGTAAAACTGGACTTGGACATCATCAGCAACATATGGCTCCCACCTTTTCCCGGACCACTCATAGATCTCCACAGAGTATACCTTCACCAAACACAGCCATTTCTTTTCAGGTAAATTTCTGCAAAATGGAATTTGCATTAAAAGTCATACAAGGTGGAAGAATTACCAACTCATCATTAATCCTGTACAAAGCAGGTTCATCTGTTTCTCCAATTTTGTGGTGTTTTACATTAACAGCCTAAAAATCAAAAAAGGAGTTCAATCAACACCATACATATACGTGAAAAAAAGGGAAGTGGATGTCAAAAAATTAGGTTGTAAAACAAGAATCATAACAAAGTTGATCAATATGCCTACCTTAAGATGACCTCTTTCATGGAAAACCCATTTGCTAATTTCGGTCAAAAATTGCTCATTACCTGATTTCTCATGTCTGCCATTAAAAAGAACATTTCTCATAAGAACGTCAGATAAACAACAAGTGTGTCCTTAAATAAAAGTACAAAGGCATAAATTTGATCATAAACTTGGAAATGCATCTGGTTCAATCCTCAAAGAATAATAAGATACATATAAAAGACAAAGGTTAAACATGGACTTTCTTATGATGGTTTCAGAGCCTAAAAACCTGTTTTAGTTGTTTCCTTCTGTTTATAGAGAATCAATTGTTGCAGACTTGTTTAACAAGTCCCAAGTCTTATGTTGAAAGGGTAGTTTAAAGAGTTACAGATTCACTCACTTGGTGGTGCTCCCGACCTTCTGCACGCCAGATTTAAAAAATCTAAAAATATTTTAAGAGTCCATCAAGAAACACAACATGTTATATAGTTCAAAATCAAAAGAAACAAATTCATCAAGGAAGCTTAGTTAAAAAAGTTAATATACCACATACCGGTTGCTGAACATACTCAGCGAACCACAAATCAGAATTCGTGCATTGTTCCTTGCCTACAAAAGGAAATAAAAAAAATTAAGATGAAAAGGATAGAGATTCATGATCCAGATGTGCAGAAGATATATGAACAGTCGTCACTAACATACCTGGATAACTGAGACTAAGGAGATTGCGGAACCCATCAATGATGGTGGTGCTAACAGCTTGGACTTGGGATTAGCCGAATAGGCAGATGGAGAAGCTGAGAGAACCTTGAACACCTAAACATAGTGCCAAAGTTAAGGTGACAGGAAAAGAAGGTTGCGGTCAATAATAAAATGATTATTTTAAAAAATCTTTGAAACCAGATGCAAGCAGATTACCAAGCTATTGACAGGATTCAGTGAATGACCAATGCCCTGGAAAAGTACAGGAGCCTGTGGCAAAAATTATTAATACTATTGTCACTGTAATCAGAACCACTGCATAATATAAAATGAGCTTCAAACAATATACATAGGAATTAAAAATAAACAAATATATGTGTGTGTGTGTGCGCGGGCGCACATAAAACAAATAATTGAAGGTCGTAAGTAGGCAAGCAACTCCCAAACATCAATTCAGTATAAAAGTCTTAGCAAATAACAACCTCAAAAGGAATTCGAATGTACTATTTTATCATGATCGAAACAACCTGAAATTAGTATATTAATGCTTGGACAACCATAGATATCCTACTGAGGGGAGAAAGATTGAAAGTGCAGGCATTAAAACTTACGTTAATTTTCTTGTTTCCTAAAATCACATCAGACTTAATAAAATCATCAGAGGCAATCAAAGTATGATCTCCTTCTGTTTCGGAAACTGCATAGCCAGTGTGATCAATAACCATGGCCGAAGGGTCCTACGAACAAGGAAGGTTCAATACACAATCAAGTGATGCAATAAAATGTCTGAAGCATCAAATCAGAGAATATAAACGCATCTGACCTCATCGAAATCAACTCCACATTCGGTGGCAACTTCCCTAATCAAATCAGAAGCAGTAACATCCGCCGCAATCATCAAATCATGACCGGAATCAACAAAATTGATAATGGCAGCAACATCAATAGATCCTCCGAATCCTAATTAAAACAAGACAAATTAATCACAACTTCAAACAAAAACACATTAAAAGAAGGAAACGGAAAGTATTCATTTAAAAACAATTAAAATATTTGGGGGGGATCAAATGTGAGATAACTCACGTTCAACGGAGGGGCAGAATAGTATCAAGGCATCGTAGAGATACTGGCCGTAGCGTTGTAAGGCAAGCTTGGGATCGTCGGAGAGTTTGAAGTCGAGGTCAAAGCCGCGAGATCTGAGGGAGTTGAAGTAGGAGGAGTGAGACGATTTGACAGCAAAGTCATCGAGGAGGACCAGAACTCGGCGAGCGGTAGGTGTTTCAAGAGAGAAAGAATTGCATAGAAATGGAAGGAGGATCAAGATGGAAGTCACAAAAATAACCCAAAATTTTCCCATTTTTGGGATTAGGGTTCTAGTGTGAATTGAAATGACTGAGATTTGGGAGATTTGGGTATCTACTATCACTGGTATTCGATTATTCCGCTTAGCCGGCTCTGTGCTTTTCCCCAAGTCTACGTAGAGATGGCCACACCTCGAGTTGGGTTGGGTTTATGACCAATTCAGCCCGATTCAAAAAATATATACTTCTCATTGGAATCTGTTTCGATTAAAAATATATATATTTTTCATATGATCCAAGAAATATATACCTTCCTCCTGAATTCGATCTAACCCAGATTTTGGAGTTAAACCTAACCCTCAACTCATTATAATCTATAATATTTACTATTAGAGCAATATAAAATTAAAATATATATAGTCTACTTCCTGCTTCTCCACCTTCCTCTTCGTTGAGGTTTGAAAAAAGTTACTTCATCATCAATAAATCAAAGGAATTTCAAAAATATAAGTTATTTATAAATTTTAAAAGAAAAATATCTAGACATAAGCATGATGACCAAAATAAAAGCAAATCAAAAGTTTATTGAGTAATTTATATATATATAAAACCCCGTAAGACGAAAGTTGAGTAATGCAATTTGAATATAACAATTGTATAGAGACCTTTCTTAGAGAGTGGAGCAATATATTTTTGTTTGGACTCCATTAAATGGATAATGGTGGAGATTGGAGAATAAGAAACTGAAGCGTTCAATAATAGATTCGTAAAGTTTAAGATGTTTTTCACTTAAGCAAAAATTAGATTTGTGTTAAAGAGGGCGAAACGAATTTAATGGAAAATACTGGGACTTATCGGTCATTTTTAATGACATTATTGGTGATCGTTCGTGATGAATAGTGATTGAAATATAAGGAAATTGAAAAAAGAGAGAAAATAAGTAAAAAAAAAAAAAGAGGTTTTATATGGGTCCAAAACAACGTTATTTTAGTGTAAATTTAACTTTTTCAAGAAGAAGTCATTTTTATGTTGCCCGTCATGTCACAATGTTGTAACTATTTAATGAAATAGTGATCAAAATAGAAAGTAATTTAAAATTTTAGTGAAAATTTTGAAATATCTTAAAATTTAATGACCAAACAAAAGTAAAAGAAATTTTGAGTGATACATTTCACGTTTAAACATGATAGAGAGGCCAAAACCAGAAATTAGGGTAGAGTTGGGGGAGGGGGCAAACATACTCTTATATGGTAGTTCCCTATTGGTACATAGAATTGGAAAAATAAATAAATTAGTAAGTATTTTAATATCGTTTAAGCATGTCTTAAATTTGAGTAATTGTATATGCAGAAAATTCTCCACTCATTCACTGAAGCGATGTGTGCTACCTGGGTCGGTCAGGATTAATCAACGCGAAGTTTTGGGAATCGAGAGGACAACCAAAAAAATAAAAAGAAAGTGAGGAGCAAAGAATCAAGTAGAGATGGTAGAGTTGGATTTTTTGTCAACGCGATCTAACTCGAAAATATATATCCTTCATCTTAATATGATTTGATTCGATCTTAAAAATATATAAGTGTTTGGCTAACAACTGATAGCTAATAGCTGATTACATAAGCTAATTTGATAAACTGATTTGATTAGCTGATTATTTTTACAAGAAATTAAAAATTCCTTAAGAAAATTAGTGAATATTTTTAATATATTTTTTAAACTTAACATTTACAAATATTAACGTATTGATACATACTATTAACCTGTATAAAATATCAACACTACATTTATTTTTTACTTTCATGTTTTACTATATTTTTTAACTAAAATATATTTGAAAATCTATAACTAAAAAATAGAATAATAAAATAAATTTCACTAAATCATCATTATACGTTGCATAAAATTCATTGTTACGTAAGTTCTTAAAATTCATTGTTACACAAATTCATTAAAAATAAATTCAAATTACATAAATATTTAAGAAAGATATACGTATCTAAACAAGTATAAGCAAAAACGAATATTTAAGAAATAATGAGGTTTTATGGTAAGGATGTAATTATGAAAATAATAAGGTTAAATATATCATTTAACATCTTATTTTACAATCAATTCTTTAAAACCGTTGAATTTTTCAATATTTTCATTTTCAGTTTATTTTGTACAATTAACTATTTCAAAAAGATGTTTAACAAGTACTAAAAATAAAGGGATTGATTATTAATCAGTTATTTATACTTAAATAAACTAAAATCTTTTCAAAAAGTTATTTATCAAATATCCCTGTAATCTCCGTTCAACATGACCTGAACAACATATATTTCTCTACCTGAACTCAATTGAACCTAAAATTTTAGAATATAAATCTAACTCAACATAAAATAAGGAATTAATTATAAAAAAATTATAAAGAGACGAAATATCATAATAATTATCTATAAATTTATATAAAAAATTATTCTATTATCTTCGATTTGAGTCAGATAGAAGGTTTTTCATATTCCATCTGATATTGACCTCTCCTTGTATAAACTTGAACCAAACTCGACTCCAGCCTAATTTTTTATAAAAAAAATTATTCTAGCAGATTAAACTAGGTCAAAATCAATCAATTTCGAGTTAAATTATATCTATGTGATCCAGAAGCCCATTTTCTTTGTCGACGGCGAACTGAAAACGTACGTCGATGACAGCAATTGACCTAAAACAGACAAAAATAATTTTCAATCCTTGTATTTTCACCAGCTGTGAGATTTCTTGTTCTTATTTGCTGCAGAAAGCATTCCTTGTATTTTCACCTGGTAAAACGATCAACCCAATCCTCATTTCAGTCTTTTGTATGCGGATTCAATGAGTTTTTTTTTAACAGGATAATTTTTTACCTTGTTTGTGTTGCTAATGTTCATTGGATTTTGATGATTATCACCGTAGAACTTGGGTTTTTTTGGGTTACCTTCCTGTTGGATCATGTTCAAAATTAAGGAAAAACTTTCTTTTGATTTTCCATTTTTGTGTCTATATAGGTATTGTGTGATATTATAGTGAGATTCAATGTTAATTGGGTTTTAAAAAGATTGAAGCTTTTTTCTGACTGTTTATTGCTTTCTTATTTGTGTGTGATCAGCTTACCACATTTTGGGGGGGGGGGCAAATTCAACCTTCTTGGATTTCTAATCTTCTCATACAGTCTTCAAAGTTCTTTTTTTTAAGCTGATTGTTGTGCATCTTATTCAGACTTAAGGTGGGTATCCAATGTATGTGTATGCCCTACATGGAAATGCTTAATTTTTTCTGTACCATATCCTTGTCCAGAGATATTCGAAAAAACGAGGAGTCCATGAAACATTGTATATCTTAGAGGTTGCCAGTGTTGACCAATTGTTTCAGTAGCATTGCTTTTCTTCTTTAGGGAAATAAATTTCTTGAAGATTTTTAATTGCTGACATTTTGCTTGGTTAGATATCAGTTTATTCTTCTCTAAGCAGTTACCTTATAGTCTTTGAGACTTAGATGTCCACTTTTGTAATAATTTCTGGATTGCCAAGATATTATGTGAACTTTTACGATAATGTTTTTAACATGTTTTATCTTATATAAGAGTGCATTAGATGTGTCTGTAAACTTCCATTGTCGTTCATATTTTGTCCTAATTTAGGAGAAATGATCAACCTATTCAAGGTCAAGGAAAAACAGAGGGCAACTGTAGAAAATGCCAATGGGAAGGCACCGGTAAAGAAGCAAAGTATTGGGGAATTACGTGTTCATAAATGTTTATTTAGTTACATCTTGATAATTTGAATGTTTAGTGACTTTTTGAGATTAGATCATTACTTCTTGAATGAATTTTCGACTTGTTATAATGATAAATGGTTTTTCGACTTGAATGAATCTTCTTCTTCTTCTTCTTCTTCTTTCTAAGGTTATACTCCTGTAATATAACCTCGGCTACCATAAGTTGCCTTTTAGAGTTTGTATTATGACTTTTGTGTTCCTTATTTTATAGATATCAGCGAACTGAATCTGCCAGAAACATGTAGCATATCATTTCCCAGCGGAAAAGATGACTTGATGAACTTCGAGGTTACCGTTCAGCCTGATGAAGGCTTTTATCTGTAAGTGATCTTATGCTTTGACATGATCTCCATAATTTGTTCAAATTTCAACTGCTATAGCTGACATTCTTTCTTCCAAACTTCTGTTTTTTTTTCATTATGGCATTTAACACTATTTGTCAATGGGCTTCGCAATCCAATGCACAAGTGTACCATGCATTAAACTTAGGTGCTTCAAATTGCATATAGGTGCCATACAACCTGAAATTTGATTTTCTATGAGCTTAATATTTCTGAACCTTCCATAAAACAAAAGCAAAATAGGTTCCGAACCAAGCTACTTGTCGGTTATTTTCGTCCTTGATATTCTAGTCTTTCTCGTTTGCAAGTGCTTATTTGGTTTCTGGTCATAGAGGTGGAAAATTTGTATTCACTTTCCAAGTTTCTCCCATCTACCCTCATGAGGCACCCAAGGTGAAATGCAAGACAAAGGTACACTACGCTAGCAATAGCATGTCTTCCACCATAACACTGTCACATTCCTATAGTGATATGCTTAGCAAAATGGTAAGTCAGTTCTAAACAGTATATCTCGCTTGCACGTGTACCATCCCAACATTGATTTGGAAGGAAATGTTTGCCTCAATATTCTAAGAGAAGACTGGAAACCTGTTCTGAACATAAATACCATAATATATGGATTGTTTCATGTCTACAGGGTATTGATTTTTTTCCTTCACTAGTGGTTTTTCTACTTGGCCAGTTCGGTTTAAATCGAGTTTATGATCTCGTCATTCATGCAGCAACCGAACTATGAGGATCCCCTCAATCACGATGCTGCATCCGTTTTGAGAGACAACCCGAAACTGTTCGAATCCAATGTGAGAAGAGCAATGGTTGGTGGACATGTCGGTCAAACATTCTTTCCGCGGTGTTTGTAGCTGCAACTTGCAATAGCGAGCAGAATGGTGCAACAGCAGTATATTTGGTCATAACTTGTAAGACTCTACCTGCTGTTATGATACGTATCGTCTGGACTTTGTGAGCATACTTGGAGATGTTTGTGTGCTTATGTAACAGTATAATGTATTGGTGAAATTGGCTGGGGGATTCATAGTTATTATTTTATTATTTTTATTCGAGTGGAAACAAGTTCGGGGATGTAGAACTTGAGACATTTTTATCAATGCATCTATTTATTTCATCTTTGCAAGCAAATATATGTGCTTTATCCTCTAACCTTTCTCCTCTTTGCGTGTTCTGTTCTATTCGATACCTCATTCAGTTTCGAGTTTAGAGCTGCTAAACAGTACACCTGTGGCCGGCGTAGGGCTTGTCCATGTCTTTGGTCAAAGGCAATTAATAAGATATCTAATAAGAACATGAAGAGAGCTCAATGCACCCGTAGAACAATGTAACCATGCAATGAATTTGATGGTTCACAAACTTTGCATGTCAACATCAGTTACACCAGAATCAATCAGACACAATGTAGCCATTAACATCAACAACAAGCGCGGGTTAAAGAAAGATGGAAGAAAATATTGAAACCCTGCACTTCTTACAGTTAACAGTATGGATTTTGGCCCTTCAAGTGACTATGACGATCTCTGATGCTTCAAAACTTTTGAGGGGGACGATCTGAGCAGCTTTTAGATCGCTTTAGTTCCCATGGTGGTAGACAGCCTTTATAGTGAGAGTGTAAAAAGAGTGACGACATCGATACTTCCCTATGAGGGATCGAGATTGATGATAAGCAGCTGAAGGCACTTCTTAGCCTCTTCTTTTCGTTATCAGCTTGGAAATTGGGGTCATGGCGCACTGCAGTAGCTTTAAGTGCCTCCGGAAGTATGCAGTTGCATGATGAACCTACAAAGAGGATAAATGGACATTTAAAAGCCGACTTCCGATTAGGGGTGTGTAAAATATCCGATAAATGTTGACCGAAAAGAAATACCAATTCTTGCAAGTCGATTCACCCATTTTGGCATCTGTTTCCCAGTCAGCTTGTAACATATATCCTCACAGAAATGGTTACAGTTCTTAAAAATCAAGTGGTATGTATCACCATTGTAGCTTGCAGATTGCCGTTCCATGAACTCTCGTAGCCGAACTGGATCCAAGCATGTCGTCCCCATGGAAATCGTCTTCCTAAACTTGAAGCCGGGGCACCGTCGAGGTTCAACCTCGAACACACCGCTGGTCGGGTAATCATGAGCTCCGAAGGCATACTCCACACCATGAACTGTAAGCATGCATGTGGATAATAAGAAATCAATTGCAATATACTCGGAATATTTTTTTTTTTGGATAAATAAAATTTTATTACCCAAATAAGCAATGTCTGCTACAAAACAATTACCAATCACAGAGAAGAATTACAGATAATATACAAAAGAGCGATCATTTAATAAATACCCCCAAGAAGTACAGAGGTTGGAGTTTACATAGTCAATTCTGTTAATGGTTTTTCCCCTAAGCTTGATTCCAACATAATCTTTGATGCTGTTGAGAAGATCATCGACAGTTTTGGAGCATCATCATTCATGAGAATTCAATTCCGCATACACAAAAAAATCCAAACAAGTGACATAGTGTACCTAATGATTCAAACCGAAAAACTCGAACTCGAAACAACTTGAATCTGACATAATTCAAACTCGAAACAACTATATACTTAATTTTCATAAAAATGAACGAAGAAACTAATCTAACCTTCAACTCCGGAGTGAAAGATACCAAAACCAGCCCAATAAACATAGCCATTAGCATTTGTCAAGTCATACACATTCAGGTAAACCGGAGCATCGCCGGAACTGCATCCGGCCGACTTTACTTTCAGGAACATGCAAAAGTGAGTGGTCGGGTTCCCTCGGAGACGAAGAGCCGACTGACTGCCACGCTTTTGTTGCATAACGAAACAAATCAAAAACTGCAAAAATAAGATGAGAGAATGAGCCAAAACACACGTAATAAGAAAAAACCTCCAAATTAAGACGATTAAAGGGCCAAAATGCAGAGGTTGTGCCTACGACCCTCTGAAAACCCGCACATTTGGTTCTGTTTTCTGCTTTTTGTTTGGTTTTGTGTCTGTTGTTTCTTTTTCCTGACAAAAATGAAAGCTGGAGCTCCAGTACAGAAACAAGCTGTCCTTTCTTGGAACACTGATTGAGGAAAATAAATTTATTTAATACATATTAAAACTATAAATTTTATTAAATATATAATATTATACAAAAAATAACTTTTTTCCTTGTTTATATATTAAATTTTGGATTAAACTAAAATAAAAATTTTAAATATATAATTATATTAAAATTTATATCAATAATTCATATATGATATTATATTTAATCCATTTGTACTTTTAATACTTGTCTCAAAAAGTAAAAGAAAGAAAGAGAAGGACAGGTGCGCTGATTGACTCACTTTAGAGCTTAGACCATATAAAATAGGGTAAACAAAACGTTTAGTACCTTAACTATCACATTTATTTAGTTTTGGCCATCCAACTATATTTTGATTCAAAAGTAACCTAATATTTAGTTTGATTTCATTTTAGTCACTTAATGTTAAAAAAATAACAAAACTACTGATGTGATATTTTTTTCAATGACGATGTGGCATTATCTTATAGTAACACATCAGTATCATCGTTAATTTTCTAATAGGAGGTGACCAAAATAAAACCAAGTTAAATGTTAAGTATGATTTTAAAAATAGAGCTAAATTATCAAATGAATAGTTTATCTTAAAAATAAATAAATAAATAAATAATTATTTGTTTATTTCTTAAACTGTGAGTTAACTGTTCCTCCTGTTTTGAGTCGCTATAATATTTTTTTTTTATTTTTCCTTTTTTATTTTACCAAAAAGAGAAAGAAACTAAATTACACTTTAGATTAGGATTAACATATGTTAGCGTGAGTTAAACGATATCAGTAATTAAAAATTATTGTTATTTTTTATATCTCAGGTTCAAATATAATGTATTTATAAATATGAATGTTTAATATCAAATATTTGAGATTCTTTAAATAAATAATATATTATATTTATCTCATATTAATCAAATAAAAACATCTCTTATAATTTTTTGCATAGTTAATAAATCAATTAATAATATATTATTATAAAATTTTAAATTAAAATTTTAACTTTTGAAGTTGTATCTTTATTATCATTTTTATATCTTATTTTCCCATTTAATTTAATCAATTTTTTTACAGAAAATATATAATTTCATTTCATTCTTTAGTTATAAGAAAAAAAATTACGTGACACTTCAAGAACATGCTACTTAGAGTACCATATAACATATATTAAATTCAAAATATTTAAAAAAAAATTACTCTTCATAAAGTTTTTAAAAAGTACAAAAATGTTTTCTAAAAATTTGGTTTTTAAAATCCCCTATTTTGGATTTTAAATATATTTTTATGCTTGTTCTTAAATTTTATATTTTTATATATTATGTTCTATATGACACTATATGGAACGTTTCTAAAGTGCCACATGTCTTAGACTACCACATGTCATATAATATATATTAAACTCAAAAATAAAATAAAAAATCTTTAAAAATATAAAAAAAACCTTTTTTAAAAACTAGTTTTTCACATATTCCCCATTCTTTTTATTTTTAAAAATTATTCATATTTTGTTTAACTTTTATAAATTTTTTAACTTTAATACAAATTAAGTGTCGTATTATATAATACTTTGACGACGGCAAAATCGATGGAATAATGCAACAGGAAAAAAATTAATGGAATAATGCAGTTTATGATTTATTTTCTTATTTGGGGTGATTGTTACAGTGATACACGAGGTCGTCGCCTGTTCCGAACGACCAATATAGGTCGCTATGTGCTCCGAACGACCTCCATAGGTCGCACAATGCGTCTTCGGCTAAAATTCTAATTACCGATATAAGTAATCGTTGTTCGGAGTACATAACGACCAATGTAAGTCGTTTGGCATACATGATGACCTATGGAAAACTGTAGCATTCACCCAAGATGGACAAATAATCCTTCGACTATATTATCTGAACAAAATTTGTCTTTCAACTTATTATTCCACAGATTTTACCCTCTGATGACACATTCTTAAAATGGCATGATTTTATTATAATAAAACAACGAAGTGAGATAACATACTTTAGAATTAAAATATTATTAAATATTTTTTAATTTAATTTTAATTATATATCATCTTCTAATTCATTAATAATACATCAAATATTATCTCGCCCTTTATATTACAATGTTTTCATTTATCAAAAGAGACAAAGCATGTATTAATATTCATATTTTATTGTAATTTAAGTTAGGGGTGAGCAAAACTCGTATTGACTTGAAAAATCGATTTTTTTCTTAATTTAGAGTTATTCGAGTCAACTCAAATTATCAATTCGATTTTTGAGTTGAAATTTAAAAATTTCAGTTACTCGAAAAATCAAAAATGTGATTGCCTATTTTGACAGTTTTGCGATTTAGTTCATGATTTCATTATTCCTTCAATTCCTCTTTCATTTTAAGTCTTTTTTTTAACCAAATTTAAATCACATGCTCCTAAACTATAGTAAAATACATATGTGCTTTCAATTCATCTTTTTTATAATAGTTTTTTAATTTTTCAATTTAGTCCCTCAAATTTTCATAAATTTCTTATTTCTTCAATTCAAACTTCATTCTAATTCATTAATAATACATCAAATATTATCTCTCCCTTTATATTACAGTGTTTTCATTTATCAAAAGAGACAAAGCATGTATTAATATTCATATTTTATTGTAATTTAAGTTAGGGGTGAGCAAAACTCGTATCGACTTGAAAAATTAAATTTTTTTCCTAATTTTGAGTTATTCGAGTCAACTCAAATTATCAATTCGATTTTTGAGTTGAAATTTAAAAATTTCAAGTTACTCGAAAAATAAAAAATGTGATTGCCTATTTTGACAGTTTTGCGATTTAGTTACCGATTTCATTATTCCTTCAATTCCTCCTTCATTTTAAGTCCGTTTTTAACCAAATTTGAATCACATGCTCCTAAACTATAGTAAAATACATATGTGCTTTCAATTCATCTTTTTGATAATAGTTTTTAAATTTTTCAATTTAATCCCTCAATTTTTTATGATTTTCTTATTTATTCAATTCAAACTTCATTCTAATTCATTAATAATACATCAAATATTATCTAACCCTTTATATTACAGTGTTTTCATTTATCAAAAGAGACAAAGCATGTATTAATATTCATATTTTATTGTAATTTAAGTTAGGGGTGAGCAAAACTCGTATCAACTTAAAAAATCGCTTTTTTCCCCTAATTTTGAGTTATTCGAGTCAACTCAAATTATCAATTCGATTTTTGAGTTGAAATTTAAAAATTTCCAGTTACTCGAAAAATAAAAAATGTGATTGCCTATTTTGACAATTTTGCGATTTAGTTATCGATTTCATTATTCCTTCAATTCCTCCTTCATTTTAAGTCCGTTTTTAACCAAATTTGAATCACATGCTCCTAAACTATAGTAAAATACATATGTGCTTTCAATTCATCTTTTTGATAATAGTTTTTTAATTTTTCAATTTAATCCCTCATTTCTTCATGATTTTCTTATTTCTTCAATTTAACCTTCAATTTAAGTCCATTTTTTTACCAAATTTGAACCACATACTCCTATACGACTATATAATACATATGTAACTTAAATTTCTATTTTTTTTACTAAAAATATACTCTTTTTATTTAGTCCATTAATTTTGCATTTTACTTAATTTTTTCTTTTGACTGCAATTCTTTTTTCTCATAAGTTTCTGGACTCTTTTATTCTCGTCAATATTTTACCTTCAAAATATATTCTTTAAAATATAATATTGTAAATATATTTTATAATTTTATATTGTATTTGATATATTAAATAACATTATAATGTGACAAGAATATGAACCAGTATATATATATATATATATATCTTATATGGTTAGAGAAAATCAAAAATCAAAATCAATCCTTATCATAATACTATAAAATAATTATAAAAAAATTGTATAGAAACTCAAAAATCAAAATCAATCCTTATCATAATGCTATAAAATAATTATAAAAAAATTGTATAGAAACTCAAATAACTTAACTTGAAAAAAATTTTAAGTTAAGTTCGAGTTACAAAATACAACTCATCAACTCAAATTTTTTTTTACTTTACTCGACTTCTCACCCCTAATTTAAGTTCAGGTTACTAATCATGATGATTTTTTTATATAAACAGAAAAAGTCAATTTCATTAAAAAGAATAAAATATTTAAAATTATAATAAAAAAATATAATCATAAGTGTAATCTAAGCATATAATAAAACATTTTCTATAAATATTTACATAGAATACTAATCATTTGTAATCACATAAAAATCATACAAAAATAAATTAAGAATATATAAAAAAATTTAAATAAAATATAAATATGAACATATCTATTATATCGATAAATGAATTAGATCAGAAATAGTATTTTTATTGTTTTCAACCATTATTATTATAGGAAATGATCATGTGCGGCAGCCTTAATATACGGTTAAAAAAGACGCTACCAGTTTTGTTATTATTTAAATAATAAAATTGGTAAACAAAAATACCGAAAACATTATTATTTCTAATGGTGTTGTTATTTTTCTACCGATTTTATTATTATTTGACACTTTATTAGAAATGTTAAAAAATATTGATGTTTTAGATAGAAATAATAATATTTTAAATATTTTTTTATTGATATTATTTGAATAATAATAAAACCGATAATACTTTTTTTAATTATGTATTAAAGGTGTCTCACCTTATAACTTCCCCTATTATTATCCTACCAAAGAATCAGAATTTGCTGTTTCCACCTGCACACTCAAGCTATGGGTCCGTTTTACTCCAAAAGATTTTACAATTTTATTATAATAATAATAATAATATCTGAA